GGACCCGCGGCTCACTCATGGGCCAACTCACCAGGGTTTGCCACCGTGAGCACTTGTATGGAGTCTCCTTTGCACACACACCCTTTGGGGACTGGTGGTGGTCCTTGGCTGGTCCAGGGTCTTCCCGTGGATCTTGCCAGCATGTGGTAGAGCTCAGCAGAGAGGAGCTTGGGATTTGGGGGACAACCTCCCCTAGTCCTCAGGTTGTGAGGGTGGCCACATGTGTGCCGTGGGCAGAACCTTAAAAAGAGTGAGCAAGGGTCTGGTTTGTAGGGAGAATCTGGCAAGTGGAAGGATGGGCAGGAGCAGGAATCCATGGCTAGTGCAGGAGAGGGGACAGGCTGTCTCAGGACCCTCCAACCAAGAGAGCACTGCGCTTCCTGTGAAGGGGGGCAGCTCTTACCCTGGGACAATATTTGCTGACCTAGATCTCCTGTTGATCCTAGGGGCTAGCTCAGGCTTAAAAAGCACTTGGAGTTTGGATTGGCAGACGATGCAATGTTTGCCACCAGCACCTTTCCCCTTCCTTCTTCCATTTCTTGGCCAAGGCTGGGGGGTTGGCATGCTGCCCAGCCTTGGTTATGATCCCGGATTTGGGGAATTCAGGGGGTGGATTAAAACAGCCAGGTGGTCAATTATCAATGAACAGACAAAGGGGAGATAAAAGGCTTAATAATACATAGTGCATGGATTGTCTTTCTGGACAGAAGTGAAGGGGAAATCCTAATGTAACTGCCACAAACCCAAGGCCAAGAAATAAAATGAGAGGTTCAGTCCCTTGAACACTGTTTCCAAGAAGCATATTGTTCATTAGCTGTGGGGGAAACGTAATCACAGCAATAAAAAAGAAAAAAGAACACTTCAGGAACTGATGTGCAGATGGAAAATGTTGATGGTGGGTCAGTTGGGTCTTCCTAAATAATAAGTAAGAGATCTAAAGGAATGTTCGAGCAAAGTGTGGTAACCAATGTCTCAAAGGCTGGCGCAGGGTTAAGTTTTAAGAAGCAGTATTTAGAAAAAGCCACAGGGTTCTCTCTGGCCTCCCGGGAGAAGCACCAATTTCCCCACTGACAGTTATCAAGTCAAAAATATTTCTTTTTTTAAAAAAAATTATTTTTATTTTATTTTTTTAAAGATTTTTTATTTATTTATGAGAAACAGAGAGAGAGAGGGCACGGCAGAGACACAAGCAGAAGGAGAAGCAGGCTCCATGCAAGGAGCCTGACGTGGGACTTGATCCTGGTACTCCAGGATCACACCCTGGACCAAAGGCAAGTGCTCAACCGCTGAGCCACCCAGGCTTCCCCCTCTTTTTTTTTTTTTTTAAGTCAAAAATATTTCAAGAGGATTCCCCAGCTATGATGATACAGAATAAATTGAGGGAAGGAATTAGAAGGAAGTAATGTAACACAGTAGTGTTAAAAGATAAACTGAGGCACAGCAAACACTGAAAGAGTTTATTTGAGCAAAAATCTATTGACATCCGGTTAGCCCCAAACTACAAGTGGTTAGGGGAACCCCATCAAGAGCTCAGGGAGAGACTTTGATAGGGCAGGCAGGGAAGCGAAGCGAGGAAGCTATTGATTGGCTACAGCCCAAGGCCTAGTTGGTTATGTGTGACCGGTTGTCCTTAGGTTGCAATTTTGTGACCTAGAGGCTCTACAGGCTTGGATTTGGTTTGCTTAAGCAGGCCACCTCCTGTTGCAGAGGTGGTGGTGGGACACGGGTGGGGGAATGGCACAGGCCCCAGGTGCGCCAGCAGAGAATAGACAAGACCCGGCCACCCGGGAAAGCGAGGTGGACCTGATGCATAGGGGGTGGGAGGGAGTCCCCTCACCTGCAGGAGCCTGTGGGGCCACCAGCCGTCCACACCAAGCCCACAGACCTTGAGCCGGGCCACTGTAGACAGCCAAGGGAAGAGAGCCCCAAAAGGCACCACAGCCAATCCCATAAGGAGCCATCTGTGCTCACTCTGCGCCTTCCACCCTGATGCGAAAAGACTGTACCCATGGAACGAGAGAGGGTTGTGTGAACAAGGACACCATGTCCCCCCACCCCCACCCCAACCCTGGTCTTAAAAGTGCTTGCTGCCAGGCCTGCTGGGGCAGGGAGGGAGGTCGGTGGGTCTAACTGGAGTGTTAGGTAAGACTTGGGATGAAGTTAGGGAACCAGCTTGAAGTGACTGCCCCCTGGCGGGCATGTGGTGGAATTGCCATGAAGACCTAGGGGGCTGCTGACACCTCCTGTTCCATCTAGGACGCGTGTGGCTCAGAGAGCTCACCCACTCAGCCAAGGTCACGTCTCCCAGTGGCAGTGCTGAGAGGACTGACGCCCATACCAGCAGCCACGTCGGGGTGGGGTGGGGGGTCCTCGCTGTGGTCGGAAGGCTGGGAGACCTGCTGTGGGACTCACGATGACGTGAGCTGGCTGGTCTCTGGTTTCCAGAAGCTTCTTCCTCTGCTAGCACAGTGGAGAGCGCTCGGGAAGAGGGTAGCTCTAGTCCTGCCCAGCACGGGAGAGAGAGGATCAGAGGTGCAGGGGGTCCCACACTAAGCTGCGCCCGAGCAGGTGCGCCAGCCTAGGGCTTGATAGAAGTGTGAGTCTGATTGGGAGGTGGAGGGGAGGGTGCTGGCCTAATGCTCTTGGCAGGAGCACCCTGGTGGGAAGAGGGAAGATTCCAAACGAGCCCTGCCCTTGCCCTGTGTCCCTTCAGGCTTTGGTAGGAACACCTGATCCTCAGCCCCACCCTCAGCATGAGAGCAGCTCAGTCCCAGGGAAGGCCAGGCCTCTGGGGCACAGACGCCACCCTGTCCGGTCGGCCTTGATGGCAGGCGGTTGGCTCTGACCTGAACTTGACGACAGTAACCTGGCATGTTCTTGGCTAAAATGTTTTCCTCCTCTGGCATAGCCTCTTGGACTCTGGCTTTTTATTTACTTATCTTTATGTATTTAGTTTTTAGAGAGGAGAGGGGCAGTGGGAGAGGGAGACGGAGAGAGAGAATCTTAAGCAGACTCCCTACAGAGCGTGAAGCCAGATGCAGGACTCGATCTCACAACCCTGCGGTCATGACCTGAGCTGAAATCAAGAGTATTTTCTTTTTAGACTTTATTTATTTATTCATAAGAGAGAGAGAGAGAGAGAGAGAGAGAGGCAGAGACACAGGCAGAGGGAGAAGCAGGCTCCTCGCTGTGAGCCCAATGTGGGGGCTCAATCCCCAGACCCGGGGGTCATGCCTTGAGCCGAAGGCAGAGGCTCAACTGCTGAGCCACCCAGGTGCCCCAGGGCTCTGGCCTGTAAACCCATGCTCAAGAAAAAGCAACTTCAGATTGTGGAATATGGATCTAGAAAAGGGATGAGTGCGAGGGGTGCAGTCAGGGGAGTGACCTGTCCCATGTCTTGCCTCTTAAAGTCTGTGACACCCCACCGCCCTGGCTCTCCTTTTCTCCCTGGTCAGGGTCCTTCACTGTCCCTCCTCGTCCTTTCCTGCTTCTCCTAAAGAAGGATGGAAAGATCCTTAGAGTTCTTTCAACTAAGTAAACTGTGCATTTTCCGGACTCATTCCGGACCCCGTCCTCTCTCCACACCCTGCATGGGTGAGCTCGCCTTGCCTCGTCCTTTCCAGTACCCCTGCACACTCGTGCCACTTAAATTCGTGTCCCGCCCAGAACTTCGGTTGCATTCATCCACCGGCCCATTTGGTATCTTCCTTTGCGTATCTCACGAACGTCTCAAACTCAGGATCCCTCAAACTGAATCTTCCTTCCTTAAATCCTAATGACTCTAGCTCCAAAATACGTATCCAGTGTATCCACTCCCCCCCACCCGCCCCCATCTCTGCGGCTCCTCATCTAGCTTGAACTAACAGCATCTTTCCCACTGTACTTGGCCATTTTCTCCCTGGTGTTGCCTCTTACTGTGACCCTCAACCCTTTCTCCATAGAACAACCAGAGTAATCTGGTTAAAAGGCAAATTAAATCATTTTAGTCTCACATGTAGATCTCTTAATGGCTGTTTATTGTACTCAGGATGGAATCTCCTACTGTACTCTAACCTGGCCCCTATCCACCTGTGCTAGCCTTAGTGCTGCTCACCTGGGCTTTCCTATTCCTGCTCTCCTTCCAGGCACATGGGATGATTGCATACCCTTGATGGGAAGAGAGGACCACGGAACTTCCTTTGGGCAATGAAACGTAAGTACAAGAGGTTTGAAAGCCAGTCCAGGACTAGTAGTGCACTTTCTTCTCCTGCTACGGCGTTTAGGGAACCCAGCATTGGTCTTCCAGGTGGCATGAGGCCGAACTGCTGGCAGCGCTTGCAGGAGAGCTGCCTTGGGAAGTTTGCCCAAATGCACATGGACCTTTCAGGAGTGAAGAAAAGCACCTGTTGTGAGATCTGAGGGTTTGTTCTGCAGCAAAACATAGTCTGTCCCGATTGATACGTTGTAGAAAAAGGGGTTATGTATGGCGATCCTCTTTAAAACAGAGCAAAGGACAAGGCCTTTTCAGAAAATGTCCTTTTTCATTAGACTAGAAAAAAATTAACAGTGGCTCTTGTGCTCCTGTGTTCCCCCCCACCCCCAGTGGCTCTTATTTTTTGCAAAAGGAATTGCAACAAATCCCCAAATTGGAGTGAGTTTCTGGGTGATCCAAGAAGCAGGCACATTCGTATTTTTGCCAGGTAACGACACACCTCGTTAACAACCCTGGGTGTAGATGGGCAAGACTGGATCACCACTGGGGAAAAAGAGGGAAACACAAGTGAAACTTTACAGAGATATTATCTGAGGTGAGGGAAAGGCACCTTCGGTGTGTTTAAATATTGTTAATAAAGTCACACATTAACCAGGAAAGCCCTGCTTTCTTCCCATTATCCAAGTAACACCTGCTTCACTTTGTCCTAAGTTTAAAATACCCCAGGGAAAGATCTGGGTGCTTCAAATTTGGCTGAAAAGGAAAGCGTTTGTGGGGAAGACATATTTTCCAAGTTTTTTCTTTCTTTCTTTCTTTTTTTTTTTTTTTTTTGGTTTCCTACTTAGGCTCCTCTTACTATTTATCTTCAATGGCCAGCAGTGTTTATAAGAACTTAATTAGGAGAGAGCTAGTAGGAGAGAGAAAGGTAGGGAGAGTACAAAAACAGACAAATGGGATGGATGGAGGGAAGGGAGGGAGGGAGGGAGGAACAGAGGGAAGGAGAGAAGGAAATACACCTGTGGTGACATTGGAACGTGCAGTCTCGGTGAGAGGGAAGAGATGGCCACCCTTCCCGAACGCCCTTAAACACACAAAATAGTAGGGTGGTTTTTTTTAAACCCTGAGTGACCACAGTTTGGGAGGCTCAGCTGAAATAATATGGTCACTACCAATGAATGTAGTGCCTTCTCAGTGAGCTGGCCTCCAGGCACAGTAACCAGAAAAAGGCAATTCTCAGAGCTCATCCAGATGATCAGAAGATACTGGAAACAAGAATGCCCAACGCTCATTGATTCCGGGGCCCTGCTAAGGCATTCCATTGGCTAGGGTGCCTGTGTCATGTTTCAAAGTTTCCGTTTCTAGGGATGGAGAAGATGTCCTACTGGGCCTTCCCAAGGAGTGGGCATCTAGGGCTCCGTAGCGATGTCTTCGTAGACAAGCAGAATAAGGCCACGTTGATCACACAGCGCTCTTCCATCCTGGACCATGGGCCATCTGGCCTAGGCAGGCTCTTCTTTTTTAAAGGGCGAGACCCTATGTCCACCATGAAGTTCAAAATCCCTGCAACTGAGTTAGTCCAGTCTTGGCTCATAGCTAGAGGTCCGAGTTGTGGCTCCGTCTCCTGGTTCTTTGATGAGGCCACCGGTGCTTTCATTGCTGAGACATTGGCTGAGCAGAGAGCTTCAGGCTGGGCCGTACAAGCCCAGCTTCCTGGCAGTTTGAGAGATCCTAGGAGTTTTCCTCTGGGGAAATGGATAGTGAGCTGCTTTTCCAGACCTGCCTGGGTTCTTTACGGAAGGAGGGCACTGAATGCCTACATTTACGCCAGATCCCACTGCCTTTGTTTGGGCACGGCCCACCTGACATTCTCGCTGGACTGTTCGGGGGATGGTGGTCCCTTGCTGAGTCATCTGATTGTTTTCGAACAAGCCTGGGTCTCCTTCCTGAGGGAGCCTTTGCTCAGACCCCATGAGCTTGGCCTTGTGTTTTACCTGAAGGCCGGTTTCCTGGTGGAAGGTCTGTACCCAGCGGTACATCTCTAGGTGCGTGTTCCACGGAGACTCGAGAGCCTGAAGACAGCCTCTGTCAGCCTCCTCCTGCATCCCCTCTGCCTCAGGATCCGTCTCCTCCAGGGACAGTGAACGCCTTCTCTCCTTGTTAATCCAAACAGGACTGACCATGGACTCAGCAGGAGCGGGCGTGTACCCTCCTGACAAAGCAAGTCACAAGCAGGGTCACCACTGGAACATACGTGGGCACCTCTCATGGGGGGGGTGTCTCAGAGCTTTTGAGCTGAAGGAATGCTATCCCAAAACGTCAAGCAAGCCTGGTACCATCACATTGCATGTGTGTGTACACATACGTGGGTCACACATGATCCCACTTGCATGCTCACACGTGTACACTCCCTCCCCTGCCCACACATTCACATCCATACAATCTCTCTCTCTCTAACACACACACACACACACACACACACACAGACTCACGCACAATTATTCACTCATTCATCAGGTATTTATTGAGCATTTATTATGTGCCAGGCATTATTTATTCTAGGTTTGGGGGAAACGGCAGTAAACATTGAGGCAACAGCCACATCTTCGTGGATATGCTCTAGCGGGCTGGAACAACAGTAAGCAAGCAAATAGATCATAATAAAATTGCCGGTGGTAACCAATGCTATAAAGAAACCCCCCCACCCAAAAAAATAAAGAAAAACCCAAGCAGAACAGAGTTTAATAGCAGACTCCGGGTCTCCACTGCAGTGAAGGAGTGAACCCAAGGTAGAGCCAGGGAACGAGCGTTCAGGCTGAGACAATGGTGCAGATGCACACGCGCTCGCCAGTGGAAAAGATGACTCCTAACTTATGGGGTTTTGCGTTCTGGGATTCCAAGAATGGGTTTACTACCCGAGGTGGAGGAGGGAGGAGCTGTATTTGGAAGCAGCTCCTTGGAGGGCTGGGGTCTCCTCCCATCCCACGGACACTGTTCTGGGAACACGCATCACCTCCTGCTTCTCTGAACAGGCTGCAGGGGTGAGGTGACGCCTGTCTTCTTTCTCAAGGACCTATTTTTACCACCTCGTGGCACCTCTTTATTGTCAGCCCCTGGTGGCAGAGAGGATTGTGGGAATGACCCAAAGGTGTTCCAAAGAGAGAAGGTCTGTGACCAGCCTGGAGCTGCCTCGGACTTGTCAGTGAAGCGCTCTTGAGCATCCCGGCCATTTGTCACTGCACGAGGCACTTGTCACTGCGAGAGGCCCTGGACGGGACAAAGTGCAGGCAGGGGTGGAGAGGTCCAGGCAGAGGGAACCCCCCTGATCACCAGGTTTGGGAGGCTAAGGGAGTGGGGGCAGGTGCAGCCATGTCTCTGCAAAGGGCGGAACGACTGGAAATTTGTTCCCGCTGTAGGACTGCCCCACGGTTCTCAGCATGGCAAACGTGGAAACCTTTACAAGGAGCCAAAACGTTCTGTGTCCATTTGAGAACAGAGGAGGAGGGGACGTGACGGGACAATCTAGGAACTAGTATCTTCTCCACTATGCCAAGGGGGACAAGCAGGCCTTGGATACAGAGAGGAGCCTCCCTAGCTGTCATTCCCAGCCTGGGGTCCACAGAGGACGAGGGGAAAGACTAAGTGGGAGGCACACCCGGACCCTGCCCCCAACACAGATCCTGCTGAGTGGCCAACCTGGCCCGGGGGCCCCAAGTCTTTCCTGACCAAAGCGGTCCTGACCAGCCCTCTGGCACTAACCTGCCCTCACTGCTCCCAGGATGCTAGTGAGGGGAGGAGGGCGCCCAGTGGGTGGGAGAAAGGGCCAGAGGGGAGGGATGGGCGGGGGGGGGGTTCTGTGGGACATGTCAAGCCTGACTGTCTTTGGGATGTGCACATTACATGGGTTTATGAGTCCCAACGCTGGGTCTGGCAAGCCTGGTACTTCCATTTGGTAGTGGTTTAATAAATGTGTGCTGAGTGACGGAATGACTAAACACCTTTGAGGATGAACCAGGGCTTCAAGAACATTTCAGTGTACCCCCTGCAGAGATGGGGGCCACCGGGCGGTGCCGGTTCAGTTCATACAGAGCCCCCTGGTTGGCAGCAGCACATGTGATGGGAGCCGGGCACCTTCAGCCGGGTGGTGCCACTTTTGTCTCAAAAGGCCACACATTTCCTGTCCCGGATGGATGTCCCTCTGGCCCCTCATCCCTTCCCAGCTGGCCTAGTGCAGGGCAGGCCACCCAATGAGTCCTGAAGTGTAGAAGAGCCACAGAGACCCTGGGCCCAGCCTTGACCTTCCCCCCTCCCTTGACCCATTCATTCCTCTGGTAGAGGGAAGGGCTGGGACCAAACCGGAACCGCAGCGCTACCTTCCTCCAGGAATGAAGCCGGAGTTCCCAGAGGGAAGAGGCATCCTCCCTCCGAGGCTTCTTCGGCTCAAGCCTCCTGGGAAGTTGTCTGAGACTGTGACCAGCACGTCCTGAGCCAAGGTGCCTCCCGAGTCCCTGAGCCCCGGGCTCCCGAGGCCCTTGCCCAGGCTCTTGGGAATGCCACGTCGGCTCTCTCCAGAGGCCCGTTTCTCCAGCTTTGCAGGAGGTGAGACCCAACCAGGAAGAGCTCCCATCGCTCCACCTGCCCAGCAGGGGCCCAAGGCACCAGGAAGAACAGGCCAGCCAGGTGAGAACGGGGGAGCAGAGGTCAGGTGCAGCCGGCAGCTGGCCAGGTTACACAGGCCTCCTTGCCCGGCTCTGACCTCCCCCCCCCAAAGGCCTCCACGGCAGCAGCTCCCCCTCCCCCCACTCCTGCCCCCAGCACCTGCCCCAGCACCTGCCCAGCCCTACGCCCTACCTTCCTACCTTTCGGGAGCACCACCAGCTGGGCCTGGGCCCTCTGCTGCCTCCGCAAGTACTGGGCTCGCAGGCCCTGGACGCCGAGCGGGGGCTCTCTCCCCGGGGCCTGCGTGCCCGAGCCCTCGGCCATGGAGCAGGGCCCCCGCTGCCAGCAGTGCCGCAGGGCCGGGCAGAGGCAGGGCAGTCCCTGCATGGGATCCGGGAGCAGAGCAAACAGGGATGGGCGGGGCGCGAGGGGGGAGCCGGGGAGGGGAGCGAGGAGGGGAGCGAGGGGAGTGGGGAGCGAGGAGGGGAGCGATGGGAGCGAGGAGGGGGAGTGAGGGGGGAGCAGAAGGGGAGTGGGACGAGGGCGGGAAGCAAGGAAGGCGGGAAGGGGGGAGGGAGGAGGGGGGGCGATGGGGAGCGAGGAGGGGGGAGCAAGAAGGGAGGGGGGTGGGAAGCGAGGAGGAGGGGGGAGCGAGGGGGGAGCGAGGAGGGGGGAGCGAGGAGGGCCGGGACGGGAAGCGAGGAGGGGGAGCAAGGAGGGGGGTGGGGAGCGAGGAGGGCGGGGAGGGGGAGCGAGGAGGATGGGGAGGGGGAGGGGGAGCGAGGGGGGGCGGGGGGAAGTAAGGGGGCGGGGAGAAGAGGGGGGGAAGTAAAGGGGGGCGAGATGGGAGAGGTAAGGGGAACAAGGGCGGGAAGCTAGGGCAAGGGGCAGAAGAGGTGGGGGAGCACCGGGTGGGGGTCCGGAGTGGGCGGGGAAGGCAGGACAGGGGACGGGACAGGAGGAAGAGTAGGGGGGAGACGGCGTGGGGGCCCCGAGGGGTCCCCAGGCGGGGAGGAGACGAGCAGGTGGAGGCCGGGGCAGGGGGTGACCAGCGAGGGGCCGAGGGCGGGGGGGGGGGGGGGGGGGCTGCCGGCCGCGCCCCGCCCCGCCCTTCTGGGGGTCCCGGGAGCCCCGGGTCCGCGCTGCTCGATCCCAGCGTCCCTCTGGGGCCTGGGCCTTCCTGGCGGAGCCGAGCCCGCGCGAGGCCAGGTGCTGCTCGGCTCACCTGTCTCACCTGTCGCGGGCTGGACCTGGACTCTCATCCCCAAACCTGTCCGTTCGGTCTGCGGTTGGCGAAGGAGCAGCCTCTGCAGCCTCAGAGCTGGCGCCGCCGGGTGCGCAGCCGCGGCCGGGGACCCAGTGGGAAGGGCCCCCAAGCTGCACCCCCCACCCCCGCCACACGCATCCCGGGAGGACAGACCCCCCTCCCAGGCTTCTGGCATTTGCTCGGCCCCCTTGGTCTCCGCCTTCCCCCACCCGGCAGGGAGCTGCGGCGGCGAGGGGCGAGGGGCGCCCCCCCCCCGCTGGCCCGCCCCCCAGCCCCGCATCCCCTAGGATTCCTGGGCCCTCCCTCCCCTGCCCTCGGTGCCAACTAAGCCCCTCAGTGTCGCATCCTTCCATGAGGCTTACAGAGAACCCCCTCCCGACACTCCTACAGGGGCCGCGGCTGGATTCCAGGAGCCCTTCTGGAGGTGACCTGGGGGGCTCTGGTCACTGGGCGTGGGCGGGGCCATGGACGGGAGATCCCCAGTGGGCAGCCCGGGCCTCCAGCTGGGGAGCGGCAGAACCGTATTGCCCTACAGTCCTGGAGGTCAGAAGTCCATGACCAAGGCATCAGAGAGGTTAGGGTTGTTGCTGTTTTCTGGGGACCAGGAGGGAATCTGTTTCAGGCCTTCGCCCTGGCTTCTGTTGGTTTGCTGGCCATGTGTGGGGCTCCTTCCCTGGCCTCTGTGAGCCCCACTTCATCTCTGCCCCATGTGCATATAGTGATCTCCATGTGTGCCTGTCTCTGTGTCCACATTTCCTCCCTGTGTAAGGTCACACCAGTCATGTTGGATCAGTGCCCACTCTAATGACCTCATCTTAATCCAACCAGTGACATCGGCAATGACCCTATTTCCAAGTGCGGTCGCATTCTGGGGTACATCAACATGTAAATCTGGGAGGACACAATTTAATGCTTATTGGGAGATGAAAGGTAATTCCAGTCACAGAGGTAGGCCTAGGAGAGGAACGGACTGGGCACACCACTGGGGTGTGGGAGAGGCGAAGGGGTTTGTTTCCCGTGTTGTGTTAGAGGTGCCTGTGGTCCTTGGGTCCTCAAGAGGGAACCTGCAGCTTGCTAGAGACATGCAAATGTCGTCCCTGGTGGAAATGATACGCTTCGTTATTGGAAAAGGTGAATAGTGCTGCCATGAATATTCACGTACAGGTTTTTCTTTGAATACTTGTCTACAGTTCTTCTGGTTACACTTCCCAGGAGCAGAATTGCTGAGTCATACGGTTGTCACATGCTGTTTTCATTGCAAAACTCCCTTGGCTGCAAGTATATTGCATTTTGAGGATGGTAAAAAAGGATTGCATCGTATGCTTTGGCTTTTCTGTTGACACGCCAAGACCTCTGCCCTAGAGCAGAGGCCTTTGCAAGTTGGTGTGTTTGGTTTCTTGGAAAGGGAATCCCCATGTGTAATTTCTCATCATGCAATTGATGATGTTTTGGAACACAGGTGAGGTTTGCTGGGGTGAGGTCCGGAGCTGACGCCCAAGAAAGAATTCTTGAGGCATCTTTGGTGCAAAATGGTGGTTTTATTAAAAACCTGGGGCCAGGACCCGTGGGCAGGGAGAGCTGTTGTCCCAGGCCTGTGACCGGAGGCTGATTATGTACCTGGGAGTCGGGAGGGGTTTGGGGATAGCTGCTCTCTAAGGGATTCTGGAAACAAGGTTTCCAGAACCTTCCAGAAGGTTTCCCCCTTGTAGGGGGCCGGCTATTGTTGGGAAAACTTCCTACCGTCTAATAAAGCCTGAGTCACAAGACCCTCACATGTGTATCCCTGGGCCACGTGCTTGGGGGATGATCGCCCACACGTGTCTTGGGGGGTTTAGAGATAAAGGGAAATTTCTAAAGGAATTTTTACATGTTAAAGTAGACTCACGGGGTCCTGGGGGTCGGGCTGAGATTGCCTTTTGTCCTGAGCAAAGCATGAGCATCGAGGCAGCTGAGTCCGTTCAGGAAGGTCCCTCTGCCTGTTTCAAGAGCTTGTCAGTGGCTTGCCCCGGCTTGTGCTTCGTCCTCAGCCAGTCCTCTGTTCCCTCATCACAATGATAAAGTAGCTCCCTGTCTAAAACCAGGATTTTGAGTGGCCAGGACACCATCTGATCTTCTTTTCCCAACACTATCGTGTCAAATGATTGAAAAGTCCAGGATAAAAAATGCACAAAACTTTTCCCAAACTTGCTTTGCGTGTGGCCTATCAGAATCAGTACCTGTACGATTAGGACTTTATGTAATGATCGTAAAATATTCTTAAGTGACCTGTAGAGGCAGTATGGTGATCGGCTGCCTGGAGTCTACAGCCAGAATACCTGGGTTTTCATCCAGGCTGTGCCACTTTTTTTTTAATCCCTCCATGTCTCAGTTTCGCCATCTGCAAAATGGGCCAATAATAGTTACAGTTTGCCTATCTGTAAAATGAGGATAATGAGAGCATCTTTATAAGGGTATAAAGTCCTCAAACAGTGCCTGGCATGAAGTCAGCACCATAAGAGCTTGTTGAAGGCAAATTTACAGATTGGTCCAGAAAATTACAATGTCTTTAATCAAGATAATAAGTTAATAGCACACGTTCTTGTAAAGAAGGATTTTACTGATTTTAGTTTTGACAATACCTATCACTCTCTATCAAAGAATATTTCCCACAAAGCATATGGAAGCTATTGAAGGAACACTATGGGACAACTACTTAATAATTAAATGCCTAAAAAGAGATATTACAAAATTTTAAAAACGGTTTTAAATTGGTTTTGAGGCTAAGATTCAATTCATTCAACATGTATTCACCCAACAGGTACTTATTCAGTCACCACAGTCCTCCAGACTCACTAATCAATCAACATAGAAGAGTAAATTAAATAGAAATTATCCTCATAGAACTTCCAATGCAGTTGTGGGGAAAGAACTGTATAATTAAAATTTATGAGAAAAACTAGGCAAAGAGGGGATCCCTGGGTGGCGCAGCGGTTTGGCGCCTGCCTTTGGCCCAGGGCGCGATCCTGGAGACCCGGGATCGAGTCCCACGTCGGGCTCCCGGTGCATGGAGCCTGCTTCTCCCTCTGCCTGTGTCTCTGCCTCTCTCTCTCTCTCTCTCTCTCTCTCTCTCTGTGACTATCATAAAAAAAAAAAAAAAAAAACTAGGCAAAGAGAATACAGTAATTTAAATTAAATAATGTGTGTGTGCGCATGTGTATATAATTTGGGGGAGTTCCCCACTTTCAGAATAAATGTCACCTATGATTATTTAGTATTCCAATAATAATTTATCCAGTTTATTCACCTGTAAAAAAAAAAATCATTTTAAAGTTTCCTGCCCTCTAGTGGGGGCTTTAAGTCATAGCCACACAAACAACTGTGGAGGGTTGAGGGGTTTGGGGGTTTCTTCCGCTAGTCGATGAGCTCTGGCTGGGTGGGATGCCCAGCAAGGAATCAGGCCCTCCAGGACACTTGCCTGCTGCAGGGCCCCACAAGCCTATAGCTTCCTTCAGAGGATTCCTCTAGGCATGCTCAGTGCTGTGGGACCTCACCATCCTCCTGGGACCCCATCTCTGACTAGTCAGTGGCCTGTGAAAATGGCCTGGGGTAGAAGTGCTCCTGAATAGGCGATACCCACTCGGGAGGGCGACAGGCCCAGCTAATCAGTTTTCAAACAGAGCAAGACAGACCCAATGAATCCACAGTCAGAAGAAGCAGATGGTAGGTATCTGAAGCCACGCTGAGGGCAGGGCATCAGGACCAAGGCTGCCAGCTGCGGATCAGGCAAGGTTGCCCCCCCATTCCCAAAATATTTCAGTAGCAGCTCCAGGCAAGTCCAGGCGGTTTTGTGACTGTCACCTTGTTCTTACCCTCCCTGAGTATCTTTTCCACAACCCCGAGTGGATGGAGGCAGTTCCATTGTCAAAGGGCCTTACCAAAGACGCAGCTGATGTGCCGCCCCATTTCATCCCTGCCAGGCTTCTGAGACTTTATCCCCATTATCTGGGGCTCAGAGAGGCTGTGTTGCCTGCCCAGGGTGCCCCAGCAGATCACTGGAGCCACAGAGTTGGCACACCCTTCATTCTGCCGTCAGAGCTTGGGTTTCTCCCCATGACCCATATCCTGTGGTATTGAAACCTGACTCTAA